AACAACAACAACAACAACAACAACAACAACAACAACAACAACAACAACAACAACAACAACAACAACAACAACAACAACAACAACAACAACAACAACAACAACAACAACAACAACAACAACAACAACAACAACAACAACAACACACAACAACAACAACAACAACAACAACAACAACAACAACAACAACAACAACAACAACAACAACAACAACAACAACAACAACAACAACAACAACAACAACAACAACAACAACAACAACAACAACAACAACAACAATTTTTTATTGGACGCTGAGCGAGCGGGCTCTGCTCATTGCGGGCGAGCAGAAACTTCGGAAGCGTGCCATCCCCGAGTGTGCCGTGAGCCAGCGCCACCGAGGTGAGCCATAAGCCAGCACCATTCCCTTAGAATCTGACCTGCCGACATTCTTATAGAGGTTACGCGGTCTTCGCCCGGCGGCCTTGTAAAGAAAAAGAAACAGACTGGCGCTTTGCGCGAGGGGACTGCCCATGCGAGAATCGCAGGTACCTCCTTCATCCGTTTCTGAGAACTACGACCGAAGTCAGGCCCCGAGGCCTCGCGTAAAACAAGCCAAAACGAACTGACCTAACAAAACCAACAGAGAAGACCGCGCAACCCCTATAGGATCCTCAGTGAAGGAAAAAGAGGAGCCGATGCTACAAACGTTAAAAGAGAAAGGGCCTAAGTCAAGAAGAGCAGCGCTGCAGACTGTACACAGCAGCAACAGCTCTTGGGCACCAGCCTCTAGGGGATAGGCCACAAGAAGTTGACTTCAGTTACAAAGGCGTTGCCCGTTTTTTACGCGAGCGATGCCCGAAACTCCTAACGTGACAGCCCGACTCACAAAGTCGTCGTCATGTAGCCTCCGTCACCCTCAGTGTGAGTCATTGCGTCCAATACTCACGAACTGGCAGCCGGTGGGTCGTACTCAGAAGAGCCGTCTCCCAGAGTTCCCGTCTAGTGGCGTCCCACACTAGGTAACTCCCGACTACCAGCGATGGGCCGTAAGGATAATTCGTCGTCAAGCAAAAACACGTGGGCCGTCACTCCTAGCACTGCCTGACCCCGTCGGTAACAGGACAGTAACGAACACACCTGGGAGGGCCGTAGCCGTAGCCCGACACCCATAGCACAGCAAGCGCGTCCGCTTAACGACTGTACCCAGATGTGACGTGGAGCCGTACCAGGTAGACACCGTGCTGGAACTGAAGACGTTGGCCAACTCTGCTGAACCTGAGTCCCCAGTGTCCCAATCTGCGCCTTGTCTTGTAGACAAGTCTGGCCCGGCGGCCCCCGAGAGGCCTCCCCCTCAAGAGAGGATAGCCCCTCTAGGCCCTCAAGGGCACCCCATAGCAAGAGGAGTCCCTGGAATGCCCGTCGGGGCCAGCATTGGGAGGATGCTGACGCGTTGTGAGTCACCACGTTGCGCCTAGCCTGTCCTGAGTCTGACTTGCTCCCAGGCACTGGCGGCTGAACAGAAGTGAAGCGCAGAAAACTCTCAACCGTGACGAAGAACTCTCGATCGCACTGGCTTCGTAGCAGCTGGTGGCAGTCCACTGTGCCGTTGAAGGAAAAACTAGTGCTCGAAGAAGACTGCATGAGAATACCAGACGATCCGTGTCCTTCTTGCGGAGGTGTACCAGTTAAAGCGCAAAACCAGAGCGCCAGCAAAACTGCGCAGGAGAGACCGTGAGCTGTACCTGGGTGTCTTGTCGTGTAGCTGGAAAGTCGAAGAGAGGAGCGGAACGAGGCCTCAACTCGAAAGCTTCCTTCAGGATACCCAGGTGCAGAAGATGGCCAACCCATGACTGGGGCCGCCCCTTGAATGGCTTGGTGCGGCAGGTCCTTTTGTAAATGTAAAAGCATCGGCAGGAGAAAAGTACTGAGGCACAGTCGACGCGCCTTCCGCTAGTTTCGCCGGAAAGAGAGAACTCGATCCGACTCCCTTCACCCCGCGGAAAGGTGAGAACCCTACCGCTTACCTCTTGCCAAGGTTGTATAACTGCAGACAGAGGCCCGGGAATTGGGACCCGGTAGAACACAGCGGCGCGCGGCTCCGGGAATAGCTATGGCTCAATAAGACCGTTGCGAGCCTCTAGCGTTGGTACCCAGAGCCTTGTTAGCAATGCTACACAGCCTGCTGTGATCCATAGCGGCTACAACAACAACAACAACAGCAGCAGCAGCAACAACAACAACAATTATTGGACGCTGAGCGAGCGGGCTCTGCTCATTGCGGGCGAGCAGAAACTTCGGAAGCGTGCCATCCCCGAGTGTGCCGTGAGCCAGCGCCACCGAGGTGAGCCATAAGCCAGCACCACTCCCTTAGAATCTGACCTGCCGACATTCTTTTTGAGGTTACGCGGTCTTCGCCCGGCGGCCTTGTAAAGAAAAAGAAACAGACTGGCGCTTTGCGCGAGGGGACTGCCCATGCGAGAATCGCAGGTACCTCCTTCATCCGTTTCTGAGAACTACGACCGAAGTCAGGCCCCGAGGCCTCGCGTAAAACAAGCCAAAACGAACTGACCTAACAAAACCAACAGAGAAGACCGCGCAACCCCTATAGGATCCTCAGTGAAGGAAAAAGAGGAGCCGATGCTACAAACGTTAAAAGAGAAAGGGCCTAAGTCAAGAAGAGCAGCGCTGCAGACTGTACACAGCAGCAACAGCTCTTGGGCACCAGCCTCTAGGGGATAGGCCACAAGAAGTTGACTTCAGTTACAAAGGCGTTGCCCGTTTTTTACGCGAGCGATGCCCGAAACTCCTAACGTGACAGCCCGACTCACAAAGTCGTCGTCATGTAGCCTCCGTCACCCTCAGTGTGAGTCATTGCGTCCAATACTCACGAACTGGCAGCCGGTGGGTCGTACTCAGAAGAGCCGTCTCCCAGAGTTCCCGTCTAGTGGCGTCCCACACTAGGTAACTCCCGACTACCAGCGATGGGCCGTAAGGATAATTCGTCGTCAAGCAAAACACGTGGGCCGTCACTCCTAGCACTGCCTGACCCCGTCGGTAACAGGACAGTAACGAACACACCTGGGAGGGCCGTAGCCCGACACCCATAGCACAGCAAGCGCGTCCGCTTAACGACTGTACCCAGATGTGACGTGGAGCCGTACCAGGTAGACACCGTGCTGGAACTGAAGACGTTGGCCAACTCTGCTGAACCTGAGTCCCCAGTGTCCCAATCTGCGCCTTGTCTTGTAGACAAGTCTGGCCCGGCGGCCCCCGAGAGGCCTCCCCCTCAAGAGAGGATAGCCCCTCTAGGCCCTCAAGGGCACCCCATAGCAAGAGGAGTCCCTGGAATGCCCGTCGGGGCCAGCATTGGGAGGATGCTGACGCGTTGTGAGTCACCACGTTGCGCCTAGCCTGTCCTGAGTCTGACTTGCTCCCAGGCGCTGGCGGCTGAACAGAAGTGAAGCGCAGAAAACACTCAACCGTGACGAAGAACTCTCGATCGCACTGGCTTCGTAGCAGCCGGTGGCAGTCCACTGTGCCGTTGAAGGAAAAACTAGTGCTCGAAGAAGACTGCATGAGAATACCAGACGATCCGTGTCCTTCTTGCGGAGGTGTACCAGTTAAAGCGCAAAACCAGAGCGCCAGCAAAACTGCGCAGGAGAGACCTTGAGCTGTACCTGGGTGTCTTGTCGTGTAGCTGGAAAGTCGAAGAGAGGAGCGGAACGAGGCCTCAACTCGAAAGCTTCCTTCAGGATACCCAGGTGCAGAAGATGGCCAACCCATGACTGGGGCCGCCCCTTGAATGGCTTGGTGCGGCAGGTCCTTTTGTAAATGTAAAAGCATCGGCAGGAGAAAAGTACTGAGGCACAGTCGACGCGCCTTCCGCTAGTTTCGCCGGAAAGAGAGAACTCGATCCGACTCCCTTCACCCCGCGGAAAGGTGAGAACCCTACCACTTACCTCTTGCCAAGGTTGTATAACTGCAGACAGAGGCCCGGGAATTGGGACCCGGTAGAACACAGCGGCGCGCGGCTCCGGGAATAGCTATGGCTCAAGAGGACAGTCCCTTAAGCTTCGCAGAAGGGGGCCGTTGCGAGCCTCTAGCGTTGGTACCCAGAGCCTTGTTAGCAATGCTACACAGCCTGCTGTGATCCATAGCGGCTACAACAACAACAACAACAACAACAGAGTGCCTGTGGATGCCTGTGATGTATACTGTTTGGTGTGTATTTCCAATGGATTTCGTCTGTACTTCAGTGGATTTGGTGTGTATTTCAATGGATTGCGTGTGTATTTCAGTGGATTTCGTGCGTATTTCAGTGGATTTAATGTGTATTTCGCTGGATTTGGTGTGTATTTGGTGTGCATTTCAGTGGATTCGGTGTGTATTTCAGTGCATTTGGTGTGTATTTCAATGATTTTGGTGTGTATTTTCAATGGGTTTGGTGTGTATTTCAGGTCCCCGCCGTGCAGAATATGCATTTGCGAGGCCTGTACAAACTACTGTATAGTAACTGGTAACTATAGTTTTGAGTGTACGGGTATCCAATGCAAACCCCTCAAAATTCCAGACAAGCCCTTCCAACACCCATCAGAACCCCTTCTGGATATCGCAGATTCTTATACCTGTGGTGGAAATGTGGTGTAATGTGGGCGGTTGTTGTAAAGGGGGGGTGGTCAAAACAACAGACGGGGCTCCAGTTTTTGCCTCTACTACAGGGGGTAGAGACAAAGTCCTGATTTCGCTGGTGCCTTTGTCTCTACCCCCTGTAGTAGAGGCAAAAACTGGAGCCCCGTCTGTTGTTTTGACCCCCCCCCGTTTACAACAACCACCCAGCCTACACAGCATTTCTATCATGGGGCAGGCAAGGCTTGAACTTCCCAAAACTCTACAGGCACCCTATGTGGTCGCCGGAAGCATTCCCAATTGCTTCTAATTAACAACAAGTACGGGCTGCTGTTTTTCTCTGTACCAACAACAACAACAACAGCAGCAACAGGTCATTGATTGAGCCGCGGTGCAGTGTCCGGCCAAGCGCGAGGACCAACAGCACCTTTTTGCGCCCCCATCGGTCAGGCACCTTCGCAAGGATGCCCATGCCGATGGCCTGTCAAAAGGTTGTACTGAACAATGGCATTTGTTGTTGACAGGGAGCGCCTCGTAACAAACATGCTGCAGAAACCTTTCGAGGTAGTTCTTTGCCAGCCTGACCAAGCGCGAATGCCGCTGCGAGCTGTTCCACCTTGAGTGAGCTCAGCCGAACTTTGCACAGCGTTGTTTCAAAAGGGATGAACTTTGGCTTGCTCGGCTAGCTCACGCCCCAATGACAAGCCGGCGCCTTCCTTTCATGGCAGCCCCTGCAGAGCTCCATCCCAGCACCAAACTATCCAGCTGCATTCATTCTGTGGGTAGGAAACAAGAGACACCGAGCTGCGTGCCCAGTGGTAGCTGAGAGAGGCTGAGCTACCCGCTGCATTTGCATCCGCCCCGAGCTCCTCGGCAACGAATGGCAGCAGTGGGGACACCATGCCGTAGTCCAGCTTCTCGCACAGCTGGAAGGCATAGAGTGTCCTCAACCCAAGCGGCAAAGCATGGACGATTTCATTTTAAAGAGTAATACACGATCCCGGAGAAAACCCTGAGCAGTCATGCTGGTTGCCGAAACCTTCGGCATGGGCCCGAGGACCCGGAGAAAACCCCGAGCAGTCATCGTGGTTGCCGAAACGGTCGGCATGGGCCCGAGGATGCGGGGGTTGCCAAGATTTGGAGCACTTGACAAGATGGAAACATATCGAAACCGTAGAACCTTGGAAATTTCAACATAAAAATACATATTTATGCCTTTAAAAAGGCTGCGGAACAAGTGCAGTGCAGGACCAACAAAAAGCAAAAGGAGGCAAGCTTACGTGAAGGCCGATCAGTGCCGAGCCGGTGATGATGCGGAGGTCGGTGCAGTGCCTGAGCGATGCAAGTGTGCAAAGCAGAGCAACCACATACGAGAGACTGCCTGAAGGACATCGTCGGTGCATCGCGATCCTGAAAGGTGAGTTGCAATGCAGTGCAGGTTCAAAGGCTATGCAGGAGATTTAAGTTGGGGTGTTCTCTACCATCATTTGTAGGCCTCTACTATGACAGAAACCCTGGCGAATCCTGGCGACTCCGTGCCGGCAACGGGGCTTACAACAGAAACTGTAACGGAACGTAGTGGGGCTGTAACGGATTTGTCGCGGAGCTGTAACGGAGCTGTAAAGGAGCTGTAACGGAGCTGCAGAAGCTGCAACGGAGCTGTAACGGACCTGCTACGGAGTTGTAACGGAGCTGTAACGGAAGCTGTAACGGAGCTGTATAACGGAGCTGTAGCACAAGCTGTAACGGAGCTGTAACGGACCTGCAACGGAGCTGTAACGGACCTGCAACGGAGCTGTAACGGAAGCTGTAACGGAGCTGTAGCGGAGCTGCAGCAGAAGCTGTAACGGAGCTGTAGCGGACCTGCAACGGAGCTGTAACGGACCTGCAACGGAGCTGTAACGGAAGCTGTAACGGAGCTGTAACGGACCTGCAACGGAGCTTTACCGGAAGCCGTAACGGAGCTGGAGCAGAAGCTGTAGCGGAGCTGTAACGGACCTGCAACGGAGCTGTAGCAGAAGCTGTAACGGAGCTGTAACGGACCTGCAACGGAGCTGTAACGGACCTGCAACGGAGCTGTAACGGAAGCTGTAACGGAGCTGTAACGGACCTGCAACGGAGCTTTACCGGAAGCCGTAACGGAGCTGGAGCAGAAGCTGTAGCGGAAGCTGTAACGGACCTGCAACGGAGCTGTAACGGAAGCTATGACGGAGCTGTAGCAGCTGTAGCAGAAGCTGTAACGGAGCTGTAGCGGACCTGCAACGGAGCTGTGACGGACTTGCAACGGAGCTGTACCGGAAGCTGTAACGGAGCTGTAACGGAGCTGTAACGGACCTGCACCGGAGCTGTAACGGACCTGCAACGGAGCTGTAACGGAAGCTGTAACGGAGCTGCAACGGAGCTGCAGCAGAAGCTGTAGCGGAGCTGTAGCGGAGCTGCAACGGAGCTGTAACGGACCTGCAACGGAGCTGTAACGGAAGCTGTAACGGAGCTGCAACGGAGCTGTAGCAGAAGCTGTAGCGGGGCTGTAACGGACCTGCAACGGAGCTGTAACGGAAGCTGTAACGGAGCTGCAACGGAGCTGTAGCAGCTGCAGCGGAGCTGTAACGGACCTGCAACGGAGCTGTAACGGAGCTGCAACGCAGATGTAACGGAAGCTGTAACGGAGCTGCAACGGAGCTGCAGCAGAAGCTGTAGCGGAGCTGTAGCGGAGCTGCAACAGAGCTGTAACGGACCTGCAACGGAGCTGTAAGGAAGCTGTAGCGGAGCTGCAACGGAGCTGCAGCAGAAGCTGTAGCGGAGCTGTAACGGACCTGCAACGGAGCTGTAACGGACCTGCAACGGAGCTGTAACGGAAGCTGTAACGGAGCAGTAACGGAGCGGTAGCTGAGGGCCCAGGGTGGGTGGCGCAAATCCCATAGTAAATGATGGTAGAGAACACCCGCAACAATCCTTTCGGTCCTGGAAGGAGCAGTTGCGCTTCTGGGCGGAGTAAGGGTAATGGAGTTCGGTCGACAGTCCACCAGCACTCCTGCAGCGAAGCGATGCACTCCAGCATGGCTATGGCGGGTATGTCTGCGCATCCATCAACGAAAAAGCTCTGCAGCCGCCAGCCATGGCAGGCCAATTTGTGAGTGTGTTGCTCAGGACCTTCCTAAGGCAAAAGACTTCAGCTACGATGGGTTGATCTCAGTTGCGGCTGAGTTTCCGACCAAAGTCAGTAAGAGGCGAAAGTCACGCCTCACTACCAATGACACTTCGTACTACCACAATTGGGGTTTCTTTTCGTTCAGTGGTATGCAAGGGATTACCAACATTACAAAGCGTTTCCCAACTACATGTCAGTGCATGAATGAGTGGATCAGCAAACATGCACGTCGAGATTTCACATGGACTTCTATCGCGGTGAATCGAGACGCTAAGTCACTTTTGCATGCCGATTGCCTAGTAGGCGGGTGCCTGCGTGGTGCTCCGGCGGCTTCTGGGCCCCTCCACGACAGCCTCCGGCCCAGCTGAGAGCCGGGTTAGTGACTGGTGCTGGCGCTATGGCTGCGCTGTCGCTCCGTGCGGCCGAGGCTGCGAAGAGCTCCCAACTATGGCTGGCAACCCTGTGTTAGGCACATGTCCTGACATGCTCGAAAGCTTGCGATGTCAAGCCTCCGTTGCATCCGTGATTGTTACATGCCTCCAGAATGCGGCAGCTTTCGTCAAAACCCTAAGAAGCTCAGACAGGCTTTAGGGAAGACCCTAAATCAGCACAACCGATGTCGTTGGCAATGACAACTCTCTGAGGCTTCACCCGACGACCAGGAGTCTATCGGATCCCAAGCCTGCGCACAGTCCACGAGCTGTTGCTCCTCGGCGCAGCTCAACTCGAGCTCTTGACGCATTGATGCTACTGCCGGAAGCAACCTGAACATGAGGGTGCAAAAAGGTTCCCGGTGTCATTGAGCTGACTTGACAAAGGTAGCAGAGATTTTGGCCGATGATGCTCTGTGCACGATATTTCGCGAGCTGCGGCTGTTGCGTCTTTGCGATGAGTGCAGCTTCGTGCAACTATACACATGTAGCTAGGTGCATCCAACGAAAGCAGGCGCTCTGTCCTGTGGCTCTCGTGCCAGCAAAACCGGACTACACCTGGTGTTACAAGGTAGAAGGTCGTTCAGCAAGCGGCCCACGTGGCAGCTCTGCACCACTGCACATGGAACCCACAGACATGCGAACAACTCTTCAGGACAAGGGCAGGAGCCCCACAACGACCTGCAACGAATTACGGCGACAAGGTTTTGAAGGCCCCCCTAGGCACTGAGTGGTCGATATCCGAAGATCCTTGAGAAGAGAGGTCATTGTTTCACGGTCGTACGGCAACAAAAGCCTCCCCCCCCCCTCCCCCCCCCCCCCCACAGGCAAACAAATATTCTCCCCCCCCCCCCCCCTCCCCCCCCCTCTCACAATAAGACCCTCCCCCCCCCCCCCCCCCCCTCCCCCCCCCCCTTCTTTAAAAGCCCCCCCCCCCCCCCCCCCCCCCCCCCCGCAATTGGCACGCATGCGCAGAGCTGTTCAAGCTGTTCGCAGCGCAACTTTCACGTTCGCTGCAAGGACACCGGCCAAGCGCACCAGAAAAGACAGGCCTCGGATTATCGGGTGCATGCGGTAGTGCCGGGTTTATAGGGTATACATGCTTCCTATGCACTCTGAGCCATCAGGGTCCTCCATGGGGCATGCCCTTTTTGGGAGTCCTTGTTGTAAGAGTATCAACCGTACTGCCATATATTCCTCCCCCTCCCTCCCCCCCCCACAATAAGAATCCTCCCCCCCCCTTCTTTAAAAGCCCCCCCCCCCCTCCCCCCTCCCCCCCCCCTCCCGCAGTTGACACGTATGCGCATAGCTGTTCAACTTTCACGTTCGCTGCAAGGACACTTTCGTTCTCTGCGCTCTGGACGCGCCGCTGGAATACAATGCTATCAATGACTACCAGTCTCAGTCGTAGTAGTAGTAGTAGTAGTAGGAGGAGGAGGAGGAGGAGTAGTAGTAGCAGTAGTAGTAGTAGTAGTAGTAGCAGTAGTAGTAACTCTGGACCCAGAGGATGCCGAGACTTTCAGGCAACTACAGGTCTTACTAGCAGCTTCATGGCACCCAAGACAGCATGACAGTGTGCCATTACTGGCGACAAAATGTGCCTTATTCGGCCACTTGTACATTCGCAGAAGTCCAAACCTTGAAAAGTGAGGGAGAACCAATGGGTGTAGGCAGCGGAAAGCTATGCGAACCATGCAATGTTTTATCCATCAGCTCGCATTTTATTTTTTCAGATTGCACCCACACACATAATGGAGTGCACATATTCTTAAGCTGCATGAATCACTGAAGCCCTGACTGCTTCAGGCTTCTTGGTGCATGACGCTTGTAAAGATCGAGACATCTGCGTGGGCATCAGTTCGCATGCAAGTTGCGCCTGTTCCAAGGCCGGACGGGCGAACGCCATGCACGCATGGGATTACAACATCTTACATTATCGGGTGCTTTGGCAGCGGTGGTGCAGGGGGGGGGGGGGGGGGGGGGGGGGGGGGGGGGGGGGGGGGGGGGGGGGGGGGGGGGGGGGGGGGGGGGGGGGGTGGGGTGGGGGGGGGGGGGGTGGGGGGGGGGGGGGGGGGGGGGGGGGGGGGGGGGGGGGGGGGGGGGGGGGGGGGGGGGGGGGGGGGGGGGGGGGGGGGGGGGGGGGGGGGGGGGGGGGGGGGGGGGGGGGGGGGGGGGGGGGGGGGGGGGGGGGGGGGGTGTGGGGGGGGGGGGGGGGGGGGGGGGGGGGGGGGGGGGGGGGGGGCGGGGGGGGGGGGGGGGGGGGGGGGGGGGGGGGGGGGGGGGGGGGGGGGGGAGGGGAGGGGGGGGGGGGGGGGGGGGGGGGGGGGGGGGGGGGGGGGGGGGGGGGGGGGGGGGGGGGGGGGGGGGGGGGGGTGGGGTGGGGGGGGGGGGGGTGGGGGGGGGGGGGGGGGGGGGGGGGGGGGGGGGGGGGGGGGGGGGGGGGGGGGGGGGGGGGGGGGGGGGGGGGGGGGGGGGGGGGGGGGGGGGGGGGGGGGGGGGGGGGGGGGGGGGGGGGGGGGGGGGGGGGGGGGGGCTTGTTAGTTCTGTTGGGGGTAGGGGGAGGGGGGAACATTGATTAGCAGTGAAGGGGGAGGGGGGGGTGGGGGGGGGGGGGTGGCTTTGTCTCAAGTTCGCCCAACACTGGGCGATCTATCCTTGAGAAAGCACCTCCACACGAAAAGATGCTCGGCGAGCACGGCTGCTCACACCGGCTCGAAATTCTGGCCGCGCTCCAGCCGAATGGCAATCTCGAGGAGTTTTGGCGCTGTGAAAAAGAAGAAACCCAGCAAATCCACCTTCGGCACCACCACCTCGAAGTCCATGCGTGCTTCGTGAAAAGACGGGTCCTCAGCGAGCCTCCGCAGCTCCTGCGCATAGGCCTCGCCCAACTGAGCACAGGTTGCTGTCACCTGGGTCTGTATGTTGTTCTGCAGCTGCTGCACCACAACACAGCCCACCAGCAGACCCAGGTACGCAACCAGCAGAAGAGGACCCGCAAGAGAACCTAGGAAGGAGAAGGCCAAGAAGGTGGCCACAGCCAAAGCCAGGGCATAGGCTCGCAAGCGGCTGCGATGCTGGAGTTCATCTAACCTCTGGACTTCTTGTTGATTCGAAGCGAGAACCTCGTTGACCCGCGTGAGGAGTTCGTCCCACACGGCTTCGCTCGTGCCCAGCCCAAAGCTCGTGCACCGTGCCCAAGTTGCGGGCATGGCCTTCGTCTTCTCACGGATCTGGGCCATGGGCCTCCGGCGCAAATCCAAAGCCACCGTCAGCGAGTGCCTCATGCTGGCATGATGGAAGGCCGAGGCTTGTGGGGCTGGGCGGCCCTCCACCGACGGAATGCCGAAGGTCGTGGCTTTGGGATTCGCTGGGCTCACTGCGTCCAGGTCCAAGTGCCGCGAGATGACAACGTTGACCAGCCCCTTGACCGATGGAACGCCAAATACCGTTGTCACTCCAAGTTCTTCGGGCAGCACCACCTGGAAATCGAAAGCCCAATCCGCTCCACGGCTGTCCGTCAGGAACCGAGGGTCCTGAACTACAGCCCGCAACTCCTGCGCATAGATATCTCTCAGTCCAAGGCATTTCTCTGTGATAAAATGCCTTGCCTTGAACTCTTTGTAGAAGCACCATGCGCAGCTGGCCAAGATGAGAACTCCCAGGACAATGCCCATGATGCCCCCAAGGAATGGACTGAAGTACCAAGTCGTGGGTAACGTATACACAGTCAAGCCAGCCATAACACCGAAAGCTGTCCATGGGTGCCGGCAGCCTCTTTGCAGCTCTTCAACGAGAGCCTCGGATTCCCTGCAGGTCAGGACATCGGTCACACAGGCGAGGATGTTGTCCCAGGAATCTCTGCAATTCACCCAGTCCTTGGGCATCAGCCTGGTCTCTTCTCGGATCGCCGGCCTTCCGGAAGTCATGGCGACCACCAACGTATGAGCTTTCAGGCCCGACTTTGTCGCGTTTGAGGACGATTGGCCCATTCCTTCGGAGTTTGGGCTCCCCCAAAAAGAGGGCCTTCTTGAGCCGCTGAATTAATGGCTGAACAACCGGAGTATGCGGAGTTCTACCACGCCGGAAAGAATGCGGGAAAGAATGCTTCAAAAGGGCACCGCAATTACTCGAGATCAGTTTCAAGCAAATTGCTAGCCGCGACTCGCAGAAAGAACATGACCCTCTCATGCAGTGGCCCACATCATCAGAATAGGGTTGGACAGGGTTTGGGGGTGTAGTCTCTTTCAGTAAAACAAGGAATCCTGTAAGCCCTAGGCCCTGGAGAACAGGCCTGGCCTGTGGTTTGGCGCCTCTCTGTGCCACTTAGCCAGCCGATGCCTGATTCCAGGAACGAGACGAGGCTGCAACGGGCCGTGGTGGAATGTGCGGGATACGGGGCGCACCATGATATATCATGGTACTCTGTCCTGTCGTGAGATCCGTAGCATAACAAACAAGGACTGCGCAGTGCAATGCCGGCGTACCGAACCCTCGAATCGCGTCAGGCGCACCGAAGCATATAGCGGTACGGGAGTTTCTTGTGCATGCAATCATGATGCGAAAGGTCTGCAGCCGCGACGCTTGGCAGTCGCGGTGTTGGTGCCGTCGAACTCGGCTCCCAACGAACCCTTTTAACTCAAGTGCGGAAGCCTCTGGCACGGAGGTCGTGGCCGCCAGGCAATCGCTCAACGTCCTGGAGGGTTTGTCCGGGCGAACCTGGGCTCCAGTCTGCTGTTAGGACAAGTATGTTTGTCGCAGCTTTCCGGACGAGTGCATAGTCAGCTAACCGCGGTGCGCTACTAGAAGGGCATGGGCACTCGCATCTTAACTGGTACCATAAAACCAGGCGAACGGGCACTAGTCTTTCTATCGAGCCCCTGCAAGGGCTTCTGGGTTTCTATCCTTGGTTGGGGCTCGAGAATATCAGGGCTTTGCGGGCTATCAGTTTATGCTGGGAAACGAGGTCCCGCCAGCTTCAAATTCCATCTCTCCGTGGTCATGCATGGCGCCACAAAGACTGGAACAACACTGGCCAACAAGGTGGCATAGGTTGATGCATACCTGCAGCTGATAAAATATCTATACTATAGTACACCCCCAAAGCGATACTTCTTAAAATCCCATTGTGAACTTTTGTGCCAACCGGGCCACGGCCTGGGTGGCTGAGGCCCTGGCATGGTAGGGTAGCTTCGAGGAAACGATCCTGGAAGAAGCAAGCCCTCAAGGTTACTATGCGGTCATGGTAAGGTTGTGTGCGTGACTGTTGTACATATATACACATACATCATGGATACATGGGTACTGTAGAAGGCTTTGATCAACTGGTGCTCTGGTGCTACAAAGCTGTTCGGAAGCCCACCCAGATCCGCTGAGAGAAGGAAATGCACCTGCTCCAGCCAACCTTCATCGCTGCTATCCCTGAGAGAGGAGGACCACGTCTTTCCACACACAGCTATAATCAGACATGACCGCATGCGAAGACATGGACTGCATGAGCACTCGAACAAACGTGAAAACACACGTGCTTACGCTTGCGGATTGATTCTGATTTAGCAAGACTAGACCTGCAAGAACAGATTCGTGCGCTGTAGGAACACCATGACATGTCACTCTCATCGAGATGTTGCCTTGAACAGCCGAAACAGCTTATGAGCGTCACAGGAAACCTCTTCTGGACGGCTTAGTTGAAATATCTAGGGATTTTTGGCGCAATACAACCTGTGCCGTAATTCCTCAACCCCTGAACCCTCAACCCTACACAAATAAACTCTTAACTCCGCTCAGCCCTGAAAGCTAAACTCTCTAAATTGCCCCCAACCCCAAACCCCCACCAAACTCGAGGTTCTACAAATGCACGGGATTCAAACACTAGGATTCCATGGTTTAAGGTTTGGGGCATAGCTTCAGGGTGTAGATTAAAGCATCGTTGCTCGTGCGGTACTAGCTCTGGCCACAGTTAACACCCGTGAGAGGATTGCTGCCGAGGCATGACTAGCTTTTAGAGTGTTGGATTTGGGATGTCGGGCTTATCTTCTAAGACGTAGAGCTGTTGGTTTGGGGGTTTTAGGCAGCACTTCGCGAAGAACTCAGTTCAAAACCCTGAACAGTCTTTGCTTTAGGCTTTTGCTAAGCGATCTGTCCGGACTTGAGGCTCGGAGAGCGTGGGGCTCATTCACAACCAGGATCATCGTTATGAACTGGAGCCCTCCCTCCCTAAGAACCGTGATCAACATGTTTGAGGCGGTGGTACATACATTGGGCCTAGCTAAATGGACTAGGAGTTAGGGTGTAGAGGGCTTGGGGGGACATTATGCTGCATACTGTAGTAGAGTTACAGAAACATTAAGGGTTATGGGAGAACGACATTACTAGTTATTCGGGCCCTTGGGTCAGCACCCCTCAATGTCATGCAAGGCGCTTGACTTGCGCAATCCGCGCCTGCAGAAGGATCCGGCTCGGTAAGGGCAAAATCGAAACATCTTCGAAACATTGGGCGGATGACTTCCATAACCCTAACCTCTAAGCCCATTAGCTACCGAGGGTGCCAACGCCACAACTCAAGATCACGGGCTCAGTGTTGCTTGCTATGAACAAGGGGGCCTAAAAATTACATTAGGGTTTTTGGTTTTAGGGTTTGGGGCCTCGTGTTTAGAGGGTTTTGGGATACATTATACGAAAACCATAAGGGTATACGGACTTTTAGGGGACACCAGCACTGATTATTCGACCACCGTACACTTTGCTTACGAAGACACCTTGCAGACTGCAAACCTGCGAGCACCACGTTCATTCATCAAAGAGTCCTGCCTGGACTCCTGACCGTTTAGGGTTTAGGGGTTTCGGGCTTAGGGTTTAGCCAATAGTAGGGTTTAGAAACTATAATGGATACGGAGAAGGGTGTGTCTGGTGAAGGGACACCTTGTGGTATTTTCAAGAGCTACACCCGACGGCTAAGACAAGTTAAAACAAACGGGAAGGTCCGGGTCGGTGAAGCAATGCTGGGTTGAGGGTTTTCGGTTTTCGGTTTAGGGTTTAGGGTAGTCTTGGGATAGGCGGCCCCTTATCCGGGCATGAAAGCCTCAACGCGTCAAAGGTGCCCTATCGTTTCAAAGCGCGGGCCCATGAACGGCCTGAAATCCTCAAAACTTCAACCAAAGGACTGAAATTTACAAGACAGTGAGAACTCAGAGATCCCAATACCCCTCAATTAAGAAATATACCTTAAGTTATAGGGGCCTTAATTTTGCGGTTTCAGGTATATTACTTAATTAAGGGGTATTGGGATCTCTGGGAAGGCACCGAAGTGCAGCCGCGATGCTTGCAGATGCAGTCTAAGTCACCCACAATGGCAGTCGAAAACATTAATCCAAATTTGGCCACCTGCACACTCACTGCTCCCAAAGCATTGTGGATCAAGTTAAGACCTCAACTCGAAAATCCAACCACAAGCCCGAAATCCGAAACTCCCAAACCTTAAACCGGCTGCCACTGCTGATACAGCTGCTACTACTACTACTACTACTACGACGACTACGACTACAACAACTACTACTCCTGCTACTGCTGCTACTACTGCTACTGCTACTGCTACTGCTACTGCTACTGCTACTGCTGGTGCAACTGCTACTGCTACTGCTACTGCTACTGCTACTGCTACTGCTACTGCTACTGCTACTTATTACTACTACTACTACTACTCCTCCTCCTCCTGCTGCTGCTGCTGATACTGCTACTGCCACTGCTACTGACCCCCTGGTACTGCTACGACGACAAGGACTTTGTGCAGCAAGGGGTAGCCAAAATGGGCCATAATGCTAATCATGGGAATCATACCTGTGATACTTGTACTACTGTACTAACACTCAGTTATGATAATCATAGTTGATAGCCTCCCAGCTCGGAACGTGAACTGGCCTGAAGAGCAGCGGTACGATCCGCCATGGCGCCAGGGGTTCGACTCGTTTGAGTGGAAGCCTCGCTTTTTGTCGCTGAGTCTAGGGTTAGTGGTTCAGCATTTCGGGTTAAGAAACCCTAAACCTCGTTTCAGCTTTCCGGTGATTCCGATGAGAGCTCGACAGAGTTTCCAGCATCGAAGTTTTTAGATTCAGGACGCTCTGCTTTCAAGGTCTTTGATATGCTCCAACTCGATAAGAGGCATGGGTTTCTGTGTGGGGTTTAAGGGGTCAGGCGCTCTGAGCCACTGCAAAGACATATGGAATGAAACACGAAGCTCCATGTCAGTTCCTCCATGAAGTACCATTCTGGGTTTCGGCCCGCCGGCAACCATCCCTACAATGGCTGTGGAGGGATCAACCCCTTAAAGAAAACACATAGCTTCAGCTAGTCTTGGGCCCTCTCCGCCAAATGAACCGCCAAAGCTTCAGCCAAGCCCTAAATGATGGAAGGCGAGCCTTCCAAGCACCAAGACTAGCAGCAGTCGAAGAGGAACGCAACAGAGGCACATGGACAAGGGCTTAGGGTTTAGGGCTTAGGGTTCAGGCTCGAGAACTAAAGAATGGGGCGGGAGGATTCTCGGCAGTAGCCATGGGAAATGTCACACCACGAAATGTGCGGAGCAGAGTTCTTTCCCCCCACAGAAATGCCAGCGATTTCTACTCGTTTTCGCTGAGTGATGACAGGCACGATACATCACTGCAAGACAAGACCTTTTTCAGGACCACACAACGGCCAGAGGCCAATGTAACGAGGCAGTAGAGTGCGTGCAGAGAATAACTCAGCTGCCAAGAACCAAAGACAAAGATGTTCTCGGGGTACCTTCACCAGCATGAACAACGTGCTACGCACTTCACACCAAACTGGCCCTCGAATCCAGGGATGTGTCATCGCGGCGTGTCTTGGGATTAAGGCTTTAGGGTGTAGGGATGTGGAGGTGGGTAACGGGTAGGATTCAGACGTCGAGGTTCACGCTCGGGGTCAGACCATGGTGACCTTCGGGCACAGCTTTGCATTAAACTCCATCAACAGATTGCCCAACTCTCGGCTCCCAAAACGCTTTCATACCAGAGCCTTAACCACTCTGTTTCATAAACTCTGCATCCTGAAGTTGAAGCCGAACGAAACCCAAGCGATTGTGCGCACAGAAATTTTCGCACGAGCACTCGAACCGCTCGCCCAGCAGCCGCATGCTGTTTTCGGCTCCTGGGGCAAGCTCTGAACCCCGAAACGCACCAAACCCTAAACCACAGCGGGGGAGACAGGCTGAACCCCAAAGCTTTGTCAAGTTTCCGTTCCGCGGTTGATGGCTTTAGGTCTGTGCTCTTCTGCACCGCTGCCGTCAACAAACTCAAGGTCCGGAGCACGGAGCTTCCGACACCTCTGACGGCCAAACAACTGCAGCCGTTGTATATCCCTCTGAACAAAACTCACCTTCGGATAGTAGGGAATGGAAGAATAGTAGTTATAATTCTACCCCATTCCTCCACTCCCTACTAACCAAAGGTAAGAAAACACCGCAGCGCCTCGCCACGAGCCCATCCTGCGCTTCTGCTGCGACATCACTGGCGCCAGACATGCGCAAGAGTTCTGAAGGAACTTCGGAGAATGTTGCAGGCATACTCGACCAGACCCGAGGCACCGGGGCTGGGTCATGCTCTGGAGTTTCGGCTTGCTTCAAGATTGAACGGGTTCAGAGTTCAGGGCTTCCGGCTTCATGGTGGTGCACTGCCCTGTTTTGTGATGAGAATAACACAGCATAACCAGGCATGCTACCGGACCCAAACCCCGGTGTGAGCCAACGAAGGAACGTCATGGTGAGATCAAGCTCTTGCCTTAACACCTTACCTTCTGCCCTCAAACTTTGAGGCCCGAACTTGGGCGATCACCAGTTTAGGGTGCATCGTCGTACCCCTTTGTTCTGCAAGCGCTGTCAACTTGCATCGTGCCTTGCTGCAGGATTTCTGCATAACATGAATGGCTGCAACGCAGCTGGATAGAATCGTAAAGTTCATCCACGAATTCGTGGCTTCAGGTGAAGCGAACATGCATCCCTCAAGCCCCGTGCGACCTACGAAATTTGGCATCCTGTTGCTGCACCAAACATGGCCGCTCCTGCAATGCCGAGGCCAAGAAGATCGAACCCACCACCACTGCCGAGGCCAGGAAGATCGAACCCACCACCAGACTCAGCACCTCCCTGGAAGTGACGTGCAGCCCACGCCTGCACCATTGCACTTGGGCTCTACAAAACACTGGATGAAAAGCAAACCAATGTCGAGCAGGTAACCTGAAGAACACCCACGACACGTTTAACATCACAAACGAACATCGCCGTGAGAATCATTGTCATCATCATCGAAAATCCAAAGTTGCCATCATTGCCGTAGGCACGATCGTCGTCATCAGCACAACTAAGAGTACTTCCCATCGTACTCACTACACCACCAATCTCATCCATTCATCTTGGTCGTTATCACAGCCGCAACGGTCACGCCTAGCATGAGGATCACCAACAGCATGTTTTGATTCGCATTCTTCATACTCGTCATCAACACCACCATCACCATCTTCATCTTCATAGTTACAGTCACCGTCTTTATCACACCAACACGCTAAAGAGGCCTGGAATGAATATGCGGCAGTCAGATATGGCCAGAACCACAACAGCATAAGCTCCCACTCGTGCTGCAACGCGACATTCCGATGACGAGGGCCGGGCCTGTTGCTGCTGCTTCGCCTCTTCCAGACGGCGTTCCATGTCCGCCATCTTCCTGTACAAAGGGACGGTGTAGGACCGTTTGCACGATGCGAAGGTCACCATGGGTAGAAAGAGGGCTTCTGGTGCGCAAATGGGGGCGGCCTTTTGGGGTTTGTGGCCGACGGCATAATACAACATTGCTAGCTCATCCAAGTCTCAACTTGTGCCGAGGAGATGATTACAGACAACACCAACCTTAGCCCTAAACTGCAGACCTGATAAACCCACTGCACAGTTGAAACAAGCCCCAAGTAGCTGGCCCAGGTCCCTGACGTTCCTGCTTGCAACTGGGGCACGACTCGTGCTCCACTCGCAGCTTCTCGGCAGCATCGGATCCAGCCTGGATTGCAGCCTCCTTCTCCTGCGCGAGCAAGTCAGTCATTCATCATACACTTTCCATCGAGATTGTAGTCGCCTGAGGTGTACTAGTGACTGGAGTCACTGCTCTACGAACAAACAAGCTGATCAAGTCTTCTCCTGTTCCAATCGCACCTTCATGGCAGCCCACCACTGCTCCCACTCGTGCTTGGCTTTCGTTTCCGGATCGACGGCCTGCATGATGCTCTTCAAATGCTTCCCAGCTTCCGTGAAGTGCTCGTTGGTGTAGGTGCGGAAGCGGTGTTCCTTTGTCAGACGTATCACCTCTGCCCTCAGAGCCTTCCCGCTACGCTGGCGTTGCTCAGGTGAGCTGGTGTCGATCGGAACGACACGACTCTCTACTTTCTTCACAAGCTCTGCAAGCTTCTTCGGACCGCTGAGGGCTTTCTCTACCCACTGTTCCGTGCTCATCTTCTGACCGTTCTTGATGGTGAGAATCATGTACTTGTAGACCTGGCGTCAACCGCAGGATGCATGCAGCTTGAATCCTTAATGCAATGCATTAGTACTTTCCTGCACCCGAGTTGCCTCGAAGCCAGCAGTCTTCTCGATGAAAGCCAAGGTCAGTTCAGATTCCTGCGTGAACCGGCCGTCGTCCAGCTGCAGCAGAACGACATGGAAGCCTTCCGGGCGAAGGAAGGCAACATTTGTCAGCTCTTTGAGGGTGTCGTTGAGACCCACCCCTGTGTCGTACAGTCCTGGAGTGTCGCAAGCGTTGAACCGATACCCATCCTGCTCAAAAGACTTGACAGCCGAAGTTGCTGTCTGGCTATCGAAGTTATGTCCTACTTCAAAGATGTCCCGATCGGCCATGACATTGAGTGTGTCCGACTTGCCATGCCCTGTCCGGCCGACACTCAATAGATTTATGACGTCCTTCGCCATGGCCATCACACCACGAAGGAGGAAGAGCACACGCCTAAACCAAGACTTGCCCGCTGCCATGGTGCCGAAATGTGCCGAAAGCTCTCCGTGAGCTCAGCCAAACTGGCAGAGAGACGTCGAAGAGCACAGGTGGCAGGCTTCGATTTGGGCCCAGTTGTGCGCCGATGCAAATTCCCAAGACAGTCGCGTTCGACGCCTGGCTGCGAAGGCGCTCCCAACGGCAATATATCACACATGCACACCACGTTACACTGTCAAGTCAGCTCTGATTTTGCGGTTCTGCGAAACAGATTCCATGCACGGTGGCAGGCAAGCTGCGGTCTGTGGAACTCGGGTCTGCTGTACAAGAGACGCCAAAATCATGAATTCGTGGCCCAAACACGGGCAAGGCATGCACTGCAGCGGTTCACTGGCAGCATCACCCCTTGTGCGTAGGAGTACTTCACCTCAACACATATAGCTTGGCCTCGTACTGATCTGTGCCTGTTCCCCAAATCTTGTCTACCCTGACCTTGGTCCTGCCGCTGCCTGTGCTGTAGTCTTCCACAGTACAGACCTTGCCAACCGATTGCAGCACATTGCCGTCCCCAAGCTCCCGCAAGACAGCGAGGGAGTCAGGACGTCGAATGTTGAAGATTGGAGTTATCTGCCCCGGCCTTGCGCTCCAGTGCCAAATCCGCCACACAAGCTGCTCCTTGCGGCTCCTTTCGCTCTCTCGGAGCCGTGCCTCCAGCAAAGCCACCTTCTTTCGCTGAGCTTCTTGCGCTCGTCGAATCTGCTCCTGCATCTTGGCTTCTTGCTGGCGGGCTTTCTTCTCCCCTGCGGCTGCTGGGTCAAGACCTTCCAAGATCTCTTCCAAGCGTGAGGAAGCCGTCTCCAAGTACCTCTGCACTGGACGATCTGCTATAAAAAACTGCTCATGTGTAGCGAAACTAAGAATTATTGCGTGCATGTCTAACATCGATCATGAACAAGAGTTCGAAACAGACTCAAAGCTTAGAAACCAAGCCACCAACCCCACATGCTGATTTGATTTCCGAAGCAAACAACCTCAAGCACTCAACCACAAACCCGACAGCAGGAAGCCAAAGCGAACCGGACCTGCCGGACATCGACGTTTCGCAGAAGCAACATTTCAATGAAACTGTCGGGCCCGTGGTATGCAGGCATGGACTGGGCCCTGCAGCAGGCAGAGCGAAAGCATGTGCACGATATCGGCAACAGAGAGATCAAATTCTGCTCACATTCTGGTTTGGGTTCGTGATTTCTACGGCTCAGGGATCGGATGTAAGTGCAATCCGAGCCACTCATTCGTGTACGGACGTTCACCGTTTGCGCACACCAATCTCGAGATAGCATTGTGAACTGCTCCGGCACTTTGCTCACGGGTGCTTTCATTGTATATGTTCATGCTCACAGTGAAATCCCACCGAAGCTGCAGCAGGGATTGAAGCTCGTGCTGACGACTAGACTTGGCTGCCGCCCACACCCTTTCGAGAGGCCAGTCGTGTCCCTGGCTCAGTGCCAAGAGAAGGTGAGACTGCACTTTCTCCAAGCCACCTAAGAGTGCCAATATCCCGTTAACAGCCGCTTGCTCCTCCTTTGTGAACCTGTTCTGTGGGCTTAACATGAGCAAAAGGACGTGGCAGCCTGCCGTTGCAAACATGGGCACTTTGGAGAGCTCCTTGATCACATCCGCATGGCTGACGAAAGTGTCAAATACGCCAGGGGTATCTACATACAAGTAGCGAACACCAAAGCGCTCCCAAGTTGCAGCTTGCACGGTGTCTGTCACCGATGAGAAACTATCTGAGGCCCGAAACACGTCTTCCTGGGAAGAATTGCTTCGTAAGACATTGCCTGTCGTACTCTTGCCACTCCCAGTGCGCCCGAAGGCGCAAACATTCCACACAGGGACTGCCTGCGGGGCGGCGCAGGATTCATCAGCACCGACCCTGGGAACCGTGCTGAGGATCACGAAGAAAGAACTGACCAGCTGCATGGGCCGCTGCCTTCTGGTACTGTAAACACTGTAAGCTCACTTCGGCGTATTGCTTGAGCACGAACGCTCTGGGAAGCCGTCGTCTGGGAAGCCCCTCACTGCCAAAGCGCATGCTGTTATGGGCATCGTCCAAACAGCGTCAGCCACAAGACATGCATAACAGTTCAGAATGGAGAAGACGTCAGCCGAGCGACAACGATAGCAGCTCTCATCATCATCAACAACAACACAACAATAACAACAAGAAGCAACCACAAAAACACCAACAATAGCAGAATCGACACCAGCACAAGCAACAGCACTCAGACCAACACCACGACCACCACCACCACCACCACCACCACCACCACCCACAGAAGCAGCAACAACAAAAAAAAGACAGAAGAAAAGATGGCAACGACCCCAACAACAGCCATAAACAGCCACAGCTACAGCGCTTCAGATCAGCGCCGTGAATATCAACATCTTCATCTTCATCATGACCATCATGACGACAATCATCGTCATTGCTAGCCTTTCTTGCGCGACTGCGGGAGAAATCTCATGCACGTGGCAGATAAGCTGCGGTGTTTTGGTGGCAGACAAGCTGCATGTTGAATTCCTGACCAGGGCCTCGCAGGGCATGCCTAAGTCCAAACCTCTCGGGAGTTGACAAATAGCCTCGCTTGAAGAGGCCCAGATTGCATATCAGCCTATTCTGTATTGCTACATGCACCTTCATGCCCAGTGGCTTGGCAGCATCAAGCCCTCACACCCTGCAAGAATTCGCCTTGGAATTAGTCTACGTGCGGGACAACTTGCTCGTGAGACTGCGGCAGTGCATGGTCACAGGACTCATTTTGCCAGAAATCGGCTTAGCGCAAAAATCAGCCGCGCTGCAGCATCATAGAATTGGCTGGAAGACTTGTTCCAAAACGCGCTACTTGTCCCAGGACCGACGGTTGTCAAGTCCCAGCCCTGTAGCTGCAGCATCAAGTTGTAGTGCTGCGTTTGTACATGCGGCTGAGTGGAAATCGCCAAGATGCTGCCCCTGAAGGGTTCTGTCTCCAACCATGTCAGAACCGTGTCCTTTAATGCAGGGGCTCTTTTCGTTTCACCGATTGGGCGTCCCCTAACGAAGGTGCAAGGTAGGTCACGCAGAGCCGGCGTCAGATTCATGTTCTCCCAGAGCAGCTGCATCATGCATGCCTCGTCGGTGCAATTGAGCATGTAAGAGGGCTGCGAAATGTTGCGCCGGCACTTCTTGGAGTCACCACAAACAGACTGAAAGCCTTCGACAGTTTCGCTGTCGTGATTCAATGCTCGCGTGCTTCCCATCATGACGACACTCTCGAACGACCAGTTGCCCAAACTGAGGTCCCCCAGAAATTCGATGCGTCTTTTCACAGCAGCAAGCGTGGCGCCAAGAATCAAAACGTGCTTGTATCGCTCGGCACGGATGGGAGGCAAGATCGGATCCATGAAACCAAGCTTTCGAAAATACTGTTCGGAGCTTTCCATCGTTCCTCGCGGTGCCAGCTGTGCTGTCCACTCCCACCTCTGTAGCCCTTTTGGTCTCAGCCACTTCTCCTGGGTTGCGGTCATGAGCGCCTTCGCATCGACGGCATGAACTCCGAAGTCTTGCAAGAGAAAGTCGGCAGATAAATCCACAATGCTTTCTTTTTGTGGCAACAGATCGAAGCAGATGCCGGAACCCAAATGCTTCGGGCAGCCTTCGAGAGCACTCTCTCGATCCCATAGGAGCCGGACAACAACAACGCATATGCAGAGAAGTGCCATCCGGCACAACACACGTCCTGGGCCCACGGACTTGTGCGAGTCGAGGATCTTGGACACCGGCGTCGGGTCGGGCAGCATCCCCAACCCCTCTGCTCCCTCACCCTGCACCTGCAGAAATGCTTCTTGCAGTGAAGACACTTGAGTCCCTCCTTTTTTCCTGAGGTGTCCGTAGAAATCCTGCGCAATTTGCGCAGCATCCTTGTCGTACACAGCCATCTCGTGGAAGATGATGCATGAGAAAAGCTGCTGATGCCACAATGCTTTGCCTTCGCATTCAGACTCGCAGAAATTCAAGAAGATGCTCGGCATGACGTCGGACCGTGGCGGCAAGGAGCTGAAGACTCTGCAAAAGACTTCCGGGCTCACATCCCCGTCGTCGGAGACTTGCAACTGCTCATCGGCTTGATGTCCTATGACATGGATCATGTCGAAGTTAAACTCCATTACGAGCATCTCCGCGTGGTGCAAGCGGTGTGCAACGTGACAGTTGCTTTGCCCCATGCAAGACTGGATAGCGTCAATCTCGAATTTTATCTTCGGAAAACCTTGCAACTGAGATGGAGAAATCACAAGCACTCTGGGCTCATAGATGCCCAATCGCAGGGATAGTTCTCGACTGATCATCGAGAGTTCACTCTGGAACAGTTCACATCCCTGGAGCATGGCCAAAATCCTTCCCCAGGTCAGCATCGACCGAAACTTGAATCTGCCACGGATGTTACCAGCGAGTTCGAAGTGGTTGATGACCTCCTCCAACTCCCTCTGCAGCTCTGCTTGCGTTTCAGCGGTCCAGTCACATTGCCTCAGGCAAGGCCCCACTCTGCTAAGCAGGCATTCGCAGCTATGCAGCTACTCTCAAAGTGGGGCACTGATTACAAACAAAACATGACTGATGTTACATGCACGAAACCCGACTTGGCCAGATCAAGGGGGGCGGCGACACTGCATATCATGTGACAATACTTAGTGAAGCCAAGATGCAAAGATGCATCTGGAAGCTTGCTCACTACCGACCTCAGCTGCTCCAAAATCGCTGCGACTGCATCCGTCGATGCAGCCGGCGCTGGCTGGACATCTCCGGGTGGAAGGCAAGGATCCAATGAGATCGGAACTTTCCGGCGTCCGCACTGCTTGCAGTCGGGCCAGTTCACCTTCATCCATGCCGTTTTCAAACGACTGAGGAGCAAGTTCGCTTTGTGCTGGTCACAAAGCAAATCATTCAAGCGTTTGAAAGCAGCCTCCGCAACTGCCTTGGAGGCGAAAACCACGAAGGCCGCAATTTTCGACTCTCTTGTTGTAGCCTGTTTCTTCCCGTTTCGCTTCGAAATGGAGGGCGGAATCGTGATGCTTCGTGGTTGTAAGTCCAATTCTTGCAACCACTCTTGCAGCTGCTTCTCATCCGGATTGTCGCCGCTTGCAGGGTACTCGATCTTGAGGGTAGCACAGCAGGGTATGGGTACATGACCCGACGCAGACATTCGTGAATGCGTGCTGCAAGTACCACGAGACTGGAGCTGATCACAAAGAACAAACGATCTAAGACATGCGCAAGACTGCCAACGGCTAATGCCTGCAAAGCTCTCACTTCATGTTAGCCGCGGCCGCAGATGCTACGAGGATGTCGGACCGTCAGGCGAAGCAGACAATGTTCAATGGATTGGGAACTCGAAGCTGTGTTATGTGCAAACACGGAAACTGATCTCTTCTCGAAGGTTTCAATCACTGCCACAAGCACACAGTTGCTGTTTGTGGCTCCTGGAGCCACTTTGGATCGCTGTGCTTTTGAACTGGAATTTTTTGCTGCTGTCACGAAGACTGAAAATGCTCTCGTCAACCAATACATAATAATACCATGTGTAAACTGCTCACATGGAGACACCAAAGACCCAGTTCGACACTGTAAACAGCTACATGTCACATCAGTCACATCGAAGATGAAAGCCCGATCTTTTCAACTCAATTACTAACGATTACTAATTGTATTCGTACCGGCAAGACACTTGAAATAATGATGTATTTCAGGAAATGCCTCGGCTGTTTGCGGGTTTACAATTTACATGCCGTGAGAACAACAAATCTGAATGCGGCATGCGTGTTGCACCCGACGTGTATGCTGCAGACGTTATAGAAATGATGTTGATGGAAGATGAAGTCGGTAAATTTGCAAAACACTTCTAATGTCCCACGGGCGTATTGCTTTCCCCAAGCATTTCCAGACTGTTCCGCCAAATATCGACGGCACTGTTCTCTCCGCCAGAGGTTTGAATGGGCGAATAGTTAATTTAGCAGCTGAAGCCAGGTTGCAGCAAGTAGGGGGGGCGCGTGAAACAAATGAAGGGGGTGAAAAAAGAAGGAAGGGGAGGGCCCAGTGTGGGGGGGAGCGTGAAACAAGAGAGGAGGGGGGGCGGGCAAACAACAGGAAGCGGAGGGTCCACTCCATTACACCCTCGTACTGCACAGTGATCACAAAAATGACATGTGTGACTGCACATCTCCATGTGTGCCAATATAGAAAGTAGAAAGTGTAACGACGCTAGGTCACTATCATGGCAAAAACATAAAACTGTTTTTGCATCCGTAGAATTTGAAACCACCGCAATGGAAGCGCTCTTACCCTTGAAGCAGGAAGAGGTCAGTTTTCTGGAAGTGGAGCCCGTGTCCGCAACACATGTCCCACTGCAGAATGCCAACACACTCCCTGAAACCCTGACAAGAGACATCAAAAAACCAGCGGCCTTGTCGGCTGCTGCACTTGATCAAACCGCAGAACTTAACAACACAAGGAGACAACTCGAGGCCTGGAATCCAAGAAAAAATCCGAGTCAAGGTTTCCGACCGTCTTTCGTTCCGGTCGTCGGACAATCTCTCAGATCCATTCCCCTTTTCTTGCGCTAGCTAGCCAATCACAACACCACTTAGAACGAATCTTTCCGATGTTTGCAGTTCTTCGAGAAGTAGTATTGGCACAGTGTGTGCTCGTTCTTTTGGCGTGGATGGGCTTCGTTGACGGCTACAACTGTACTCAGTCCCGACAATCACAAACATAGACACATTGTGAAACGGAAGGCGCAGCCAAGCAACAAAGACTGCAGCAAGTTGGCTTTGCCCACTGAAGCCGTTCAGTCCATGAGACCAACTTCGCAGCCGGTCCGGAGCAGCAGAGAGTCTTGCAGTCGGAGGGAGAACCAAATCCAGCTCTACCATTCTTGTTCCGTTGGTCGAATATTAGTCTGCCCTCTCAAAACCCTTTCTTCACGGCTGGATACAAAGTCCAAAATCTCCGACAGAAGTTTGCACGTAAGATCTCAGTTCCTCAGAACTTTAATTCATCGCAATGTGAAAGCATTCTTGTCTTGGTGCATGCTCTCTAAAACACAGGTTCGGAAGAATCCATGCAGGATGCACGAAGACGTGCGTGCAAGACAAACCGATCCAACCCACCCGGAGAAACAATGCAAATTTCTGTGTCTTAATCTTTCCGATGAAATGGCAATCCACAAAGGACAGACTGGCATGACAAGAGAAGCAAATGTGCAATCGGATGTTTTAGTAGACACGATGTTGCTGGGGCGGCTCCAACACTTTGTGTCGACGCTACTGCATAAATCCAATCTACCTGATGCCCTTCTCCCGCCGGTTACCACCACCGGTCTGCCGCGTGCCCTCTATGATACAGATGGATTTGCCTTGTCCGACCCGGGGGATGGCGCACCGACTTAAGAGGATCCTGGCTGACAGCCGAGCTTCGTAGCCAAAGCTGCGCCACCTCCATTCCCAAGGCTCCTGAGAGAGCAGCTGCATTGCTGGACGCCGTCGACACCCCGCCTGACCGCCTGGTGCCCGGGGTTGACGCTATTCAACTGTGTCCCGCCTGAGGAGGAGGATGACTTTGCAGAACAGCACGAGATCCTTCGCAGCTACCAGGCCAAGAGTGGGCAACAGCAGCTTATCGAAGGCCTTGCTAGTGTGATGGGGCCACTCCGTGGACTTCGGGCGTGTCTTGAGGGCAGCCCCCAGTGCCATGAACCATAAACTGTTTTTTTTTTGGCGTGGGCGGGCCTCGTCGACTACGGCTGTAGCACTCGGTCCCTGTAAGAAGTAAATATAAACAAGAATGAATGAAGCACTGTACAAGATCCTAATGGGTGAAACAAGTCGCGACTTGCAGACTTAGCCAGCAGGGATCGTTCGACCTTCTGAATGTAGCGTCTCTGAGGTGGCCTTCTCCGAAGCGGCAACCAGCTGCACAGAAGCATGATCGTCCTTGCTTACATCCGGGCGGAATGGAGGAAAGTCACGCGCACCGGCAGGGCCAAGGCGCCATGCTGGAGAAATCCAGTTTCCCGACATGTGGGTTTTGCGAAGATACCGGCGGATGCAATGTAACAAAGGGGCCGCGTACAAGCAGACCAGCTACAGCAAAACTCGGCAGGCCAACCAGACCCAGCTTCCCATGGATGGGCATTGCAAGGGCCAATCGAGAATTTCCCAACGGTCCAGCCCAGCTTCCCCAAAGAGTACTCTGGAGGCCCCTGCGCAGCAGTCACCAAAATCCTGACAATTTCCGGACCCAGAAGTGGGCCCGTGGAAGGCGCTTCAGAATCTGAGTTTGCCTCAGCAGCGGTTCGTTGAGTCCGCCGCCCTGGCTGTGGCCGCTCGGCGATTGGACGTGTCCAGCGTCAGGCATATATTTCCAAGGCAATCGAGAAGAAGGTGTGGGCCCACAATGTTTGGAGCTTTCACAAGGTTTTCTCATTGCATTCATTACATTGAGGTCTGGGGCCGACCTTGTTGTCGTCGGCGACATGCTGCGCAACACGCAGGTGTCCCGCTCAAATGGTAAGGCCGAGTGAGCCGGCCCGGCTATTGTTGAGAGGCTCAAGGGTTGTGGCACGCCGGCGAGCCGTGCAAGGGTTGTCGGGAGGCCGTTGCTCACGTGTGATGATGACTTCGGGGCCTGCGCGGTTGGTTCAAGCCCCAGCAGATGTTCGCGACACTTGCACTTGAAAAGCTTTTCTTGGCCCTTTGTCGTGGAGACTAACATACATTAGGTTTCGGCAGGCTCATCCTTTGCTGTCAATGCTGTACATGACTGTACATAGTAGTATATTAGCCATATTAGTATAAACTAATATATGTACAGCGAAGCCGACAGAAGTTTGCACGTGAGACCTCGGTTACATAAGGACTTCAATTAGGTTTATCAGCAATGTGAAAGCATTCTTGTCTTGCTGACACAGGTCCGGAAGGAACTTGTTCACCCTTTGGGCACGAGTGGAAGTATAATACTGCGACTGGCTGGGATGATGAAGTGTGGAGTGCTGCCGACGGTGCAGTTCACCCCCTTCCCTTTGCATTAACCTTTTGCAAATGCTCAAAGGGTGAATCTGTCCCCCCATAGGGGTTTCCGATGGTTTCCGGTCTGGTTTCCGATGGTTTCCCGTGGTTTCCTATGGGTTTCCCATGGGTTTCCTGCGGTTTCCTCCACGTTTCCGACCGTTTTCCACACCTTTGTTGTGGTCTGCTTTGGTTTCCCATGAATTCTAGATAGACATGCTCCTCAAAAGTGAATCTGTTCCCTTTTGGGGTTTCTGAAGGTTTCCGGTCTGGTTTCCCATGGTTTCCTGGGGTTTCCTATGGGTTTCCCACAGATTTCGTGCGACGACGGATCTTGGCAACGCTTGCAATAGCTCGGGTAGTCATGACTGCGTTCGGAGCAGGCCAAGACATAATCGAAGTTTCTGAAGCAGGCGGCGAGGTTCAGATTCTGTAGTGCTTCCAAAAAGCCCACTTCCGGGTCCGGAACTTGTCAGGATTGTGGTGGCCGTTGTGAAGGGGCCTCCAGAGTGCCGGGAGATCTTCTTTAGTTTGTTGATTTTCACAGCTCAGCTACACCATATCGGTGCTGTCGTTGCCTCAGAATCTGCAGCAGATCAAGATGCTCAAGCTGTAGTCGCTGTTGTGGCTGCTTAAAAAGAGGAGAAGTTGTGACTTTCACAACACCTGTTGGCGGCCGTTATTTGAAGTTCTTTGTGAATTGAGAATTCAATAAAGGGGCAAAGTTCCGGGAAAAGAGCGGGGCCAAAAACGGGTCCAGAATTCGGACCCGTTTTTGGAGCCATCTAATACTGGCACAATTCCCGCAGGTTCAGAAAACGGCCCCATATTTGGGGCCGCATTTGTTCGTGGGGAACCACTTTCGAGCTCGTTGTCGGAATCGCAAAAATCTGGACGCGGATCAAGGAATACCGTCCAATGTTACCAGTTGGTCAGCAAGATGCAGCTGGATAACTCCAAAATGTAGCCGCATGTAGCACCCAGTCACTGCTTGTCTTGAACACATCTTCGGTTCAAAAAATCAAATTGCGGCATATGTTCTTGCCAAGTGCAGGATTCGCTGCAGGATGCTGCAGCAACTCTGGAGGCCCCTGCGCAGCAGTCACCAAAATCCTGACAATTTCCGGACCCAGAAGTGGGC